AAATTGCATAAGAAAACTATTAATGAGCTTCAAAAAATAAATTGATTCTCAATGATAGTAAATACTATATACTTCTAGGCTTCTAGCTCTAGATCATATCCTAACATTTGATTAAAATTGCAATGTAAGCTAAACGCACCTTTTGTGTCTGGAGATAACATATAAACTAAATCATGATAATAAATGGTAGGTATGAAAAATACACTAAGGGCATGTTTGGTGTGACGTATAAGGCCTGATAGTATAAGTTTATACTATATGTTATGACATTTTCAGTTGTTTGGTGTGACCATCGTATAGTATAAGCTTATACAACAGAATGCCTTAATACATCAAAATGATGTATAACTTAATCCGGACTAAGGGAGAAGGATTAGGCCTGATAAGGGATAGTGTATTAACATCGTTGACTAGTGCAATTCTCAAAAATTAATATATTATTTAATATTAATATATTAAAATAAAAATTATTTTTTCAATATATTAAAATTTAAAATATTGAATATTTTTATTTTTATAAAATTAATTTATTTTTTGGACACACTGATCAATAAATTTTTATAGAAATTAATATCATATGACATTTTTTGAAGAATTATATAAATTATTTATCTTATATAGTATTTTACAGTGCATTACTAAATATTAGATGATAGTATCTTATACAATATATTATTTTATACAATATCATACCAAACGCTGGATAGTATTAAAATTCAATCAGGTCTTATACAATCAGGCCTTATCCTATACTATGCACCAAACTTGCCCTAAGGGTCTGTTTAGTGTGATGTATAAGGCTTTATAGTATAAACTTATACTATACGTTATGACATTTTCAGTTGTTTGGTGTGACATCGTATAGTATAAGCTTATAATCCCTTAATACATCAAAATGATGTATAACTTAATCAGGCCTAAGGGGGTGGGATTAGGCCTGAAAAGGGGTTGATGTATTAATATTGCTTACAAGTATAATTCTCAATAATTAATATAACATTTCAATTTTAATATATTAATTTTTAAAATATTGGAGGATATTATCTTATACAATACCATACCAAACACTGGAAAGTATTAAAATGTAATCAGGTCTTATACAATCAGATCTTATACTATCAGGTCTTATACTATCAGGCCTTATCGAATACTATGCACCAAACACGCCCTAAGGAAAAAGTGTTCACCGTTGAGATGAGACCATTAGTATTTATGCCCACTTAACTTCTTGAGATCATTATAAGATGCAACTAAATTACATAAACAAACTGCACTAATCCAAAAAACTTTCTTATTTTCACCTTACTTTTTAAGGAAAAGTGTGTGTCATTTTAAAGAATGTAAAGTTGTATCATTTTAAGTGAGAGAAAGAAATAGATTATAGAGAAGAGAGGGTAGACAAAAAAAATAAAGGTGTGGGTCCCACTATTTGTGAGAGTGAAATGACACAAGTTATGTCATTTAAAAGGACAAACACTTTTCCCTACTTTTTAATCATATTTACCATAAAATATAAGTATGATTTAATTCAAAAGTTTTCAGCAATAAAAAAAATATTTACCAAAAAGAAAAAGAAAAAGAAAAAAAGAGAGTCAACAGGTCTAACCCGGGTCACAGAGCTCCCGAGTCTCGGTCGGATCAACCGGTCCAAACCAAGTTAATTGTAGAACCAGTTCAAATGATTGCTCGGACTGAGGAACCCACCAGATTGCCGAGACCAGGGTCGACCTGGCGAGTTCGAGATGGTTTTTAAAACGCTGATCTATATCAACATATAGTGGGGCAAATGCAAAAAGTAGTTCCCAATAAATCTTAATTAATAAATTGTATATAAATAGTTATTTTATAACATTTTAATATTATAGTTTAAATTTATATATAGGATTTAATTTTTGTATTTACTTTCACAACAATTATTTCTCTTCCATGGCATACGTTTAACATTTTTTTAAATAAAAATTGGTCTAAAAAATAAATGGGCTCATTTAATCTTATGTTGCATGAGAGATCTTCTCTTATGTTGTAGACACACATGTGATGTGACCCGTCATTTAAAGAAAAAAAAAGAAAGAAAAAAGAGTGTCTCGATTTTCGACGAGTGTGTAAGAGATAAAACTACTCTTATGATGCATAAGAGTAGTTTTTCCCAAAATAAATAACAAATATGAAGAGCAACTTACGAAAGCTGTTTTCATTATATATATATATATATATATATATATATATATATATATATATATATGGCAAAATGATTTCTGCAGCTGCTGTACTTACAGCAAGCAAGGATCCGTGTCCGAATCCTAGGATACGGCAACGGATCCTGAGTTTTTTTTTTTTTTTAAAAAAAAAAAGCCGTGGGGTCCACTTTTCTGTGTCAGCGGTAGATAGCACTATCTACGGCTGCTGTAGAAATGTTAAGCCCTATATATACATATATATATATATATATATTAGTAAACTCGAGTATCTCCACCCATGAGACTAATCTCTTTATGGCTTGGAGCATAATAATTTTCACAACCTTAAAATGTTTCTTGTAAGAATTGAACCCATAATTTCATCAACCACAAGAACCTGACAAACTAAAGTCCATTTACCAACTGGAGATATATGTATTGTTTTAGATTTGAATCTCTCACGTGGAAAAGTGGTCATATTATTTGATCACAACTACTAATTGAAAAATCACACACTTTTCTCTCTCTTATCTCATCATCAATAAGTGTATGATTTTTTAACGAGTGATTGTGATTAATTAATAGGATCACATAATCAATCTTCCACATAAGAGGATCCAAATTCACTGTTTTTGGATTTGAATCCTCTCATGTGAAAAAATGGTTATATTATTTGACCAATCACTCATTTGAAAATTTTACACTTTTTTCTCTTTTATCTCATCATCAATGAGTATTGTGATCAAATAACATTATCACATGACCACTTTTCCACGAAAGAGGATTCATTCCCATTGTTTTTAAGGGCTGTTTGATATGGAGATTTTAGTTGAAATGATGAAAAAGTGGGGGTGGGGAAAATTCATTTTCCATGTTTGATACGAGGAAAGTGAACAAAATCCTGGCAAAATTATTTCACCATCATTCTCCTTTTCAACTACACACACCTAAAAAAGAATCCCACCCAGACGATGGTAATTATTTTCTCATTAACTCAGAATCTGAATATAACATTTTGAGACCAAAATACCCCTCAGTCTTACGTTCATGTTAATGATATTCATACTTGCAGAGAAGCTACCAAGGTTATCAAGATCGTGAATAATATCGTTGGATCACAAGATCCTACAATTTTCTTCATTCCAGCGATTCAAATCGTAGATAAAATTGTTCTCCACTGAGATTGTGTGGGATCAACGGGTAATATCGTAAAATCGGTGTATCGTTCGATACCACCGTTCTAACAATTGTGAAAAAAGTCCGACGATTGGTACTTGGAGGGTGGAGATCAGCAAGAACTACAACCACAAATAAGGCATTGGAAAGAGAAGAACGACCATTAGGGAAAAAGAAGGGAACTTTGCAAGATGCGGATGGAGAGCTTCAAGGACCTAAACGGAGAATGAGAAAAGCTCCCACCAGTTCCACCACCATTTTCCCTCTTGCACTCACCTTCGCCACACACGCTTTTGGAATCGACATTTTGACGCCACCCACCGAGCTCCACTAAGATTTCATTTCGTGCCTTTGCTTCTGCCGTCTACCATTTCTTCTTGACCATGACAACAACATATATGGTTGAAATTGTGGTCATTCTTTGTTTTTTTTTTTAATTTTTTTTATTGGGTTCTTTTGTCATAGTGGGACATTTTCTAACTTATACATACTATTATTCTCTAGCATTGTGATGAATATGATTATCACTGCCTACTTCTTAATTAATTATTTTTTAATCAATTTTTTTAGAACCGACGATAAAAATATAAATATGAATATTTTACGTGTCAATAAAAATATTTGTATTGATATTAAAAAATTAATAAGGGATTACTTTTGTAATTTTATATCATTTACCAATCAATATTCTATCCTTAACCAAACATAGACTTCAAAAACTTTAATCAATTTGCTTGATAATATTTTACCCAACCAAATAACTTTTTTTTAACTTTCCTACCTAACTCACTTTCCCTGCAGATCACTGGTAATTACATTTCCTTGGTAAAAAAAAAATTTCACATGTACCAAACGCCCCCTAAAAGAAATCCTTTTCGAAATATCGAAACCCAATTTGAATTCTTTCACTGTGCTTTTATGGGTATTTTGGTAATTTTGCTTTAGTTTCCATCAATACTTTACAATCAACCAAACATAACATCAGTAAAATTAACCTAATTTTTTTGAAATTTTTTTGGCTAACCAAACACTTTTTTCGTAACTTACCCGGGATAAAAAAATTCCTACCAAATCTCCAACAATCTTTATTTTTTTTTTATGAAAAAAATTTCTCCAATGCCAAACACCATATTATTCATTTACAAAACTATTTTACTTAAACAAAGAGAAATTCAAATATTCATTTTATTTGTTTACTCTTTGGTAAGCGAACCTAAACTATTCAGTTGACTTTTAACAAATCTGAGCACGGAATTTTCTAAGGTGCATCGCAGCACTTTTATTCAGTGTGACTAACGAATAAAAAATAGAGAGAGAATGTAAAAGTTATAAAGAGAGGAAAAGAAAGGAATAGAAAATCATACATGTGCCATTTTTTCAGGAAGATCCACCAATGACAGATTGACGGAAGATGTGTTCATCTGAGCACATGTGATTGATTCTCAGTAAGCTCTGATCACACACGTGGCTTTATAGCTATTCATTAAAGGCCACACAAAGTGATAAGGTGCTCGTCATTCGTTTGTTTTGGTTCCTTTCAATTGACAAGTTCATTAAATTGAATCAAAACAACGCCAAATTCACACATGGGTGGTCTAAATTGAATAAAAATGAGCCTCAAATTTCATTTCTTTACATAAAAATTAATACATAAACGTGAGCCTCTAGCTTCAACCTTCTGGATTTGAAGTATTTAACTTTGAAGTGCCCGTTATTGTGAGTTGCAACTTTCCTCTCTTTTAGTCTTGTTCCTTTGGTTTGCAGAAAGGAACAACATGGAAGCTATGGTAGCTTTTTCTGTTCGTTCACTTCACATCCCAACAGCACCTGGAACACCAACCCCACTTAGGAAATCCATGTTCTTGAGCACCCAAGTCAATTCACCATTTTCATTAGTTCATGGGAACAATTCAAAAACCAAGCTTTTCACTGCCTTATCACCCTCTCCTTTGACAGAACTCAGCAACCCACCTGAGGCTGAGCCAGAAGTTGAAGCTGATGCAGAGAAATTTGATTGGTACTCTCAGTGGTATCCACTGATGCCACTTTGTGACCTTGACAAGAGGGCACCTCAGGCAAAGAGGGTGATGGGCCTAGATGTGGTTGTTTGGTGGGATAGGAATGAGGGTGCTTGGCAGGTTTTTGATGATGCTTGTCCTCATAGATTGGCACCTTTGTCTGAAGGAAGGATTGATCAATGGGGCAGGTTGCAGTGTGTGTACCATGGTTGGTGTTTTAATGGCTCAGGAGAATGCAAGTTCATTCCTCAGGCACCCCCTGAAGGCCCTCCGGTAATTACTCTTGATCATAATTTGTAGTCAATAATATAATGCTGCATATAGAGTACATTTGAAAATGCATACTTCTATTATATTTTCAGAGCACATTTCCTGATTTGCAAGTACCATTCAGGCATTTTCTGGCCATTAAGTTCAGTTTGTCATAATTTTATGTTCTGTAACAATTGCTCTTACGTAAGTTGACTTATCCATTTCCAGTGGGCAGAAGTTGACTTATTTTTTATTGAAGTCAACTGACACCATTCATATTCAGTTCATAGTACAGAAATCTACTTACAGAATACAAAAGCAAAAATGTGTATAGTCTACTTCTGTGCTTTGTAACCCAATTGTGTTAGGTCAGCAAATGACTCTTACATGATGATTTCAGTTGCCCAGATGAATGCCTATTGGACAAGGTTTTTTTTTTTACTTTTTCTGCCTATTTAGTAAAGATCAAATTGGTATTTTCTTTTACTTGTAATCCCATTTTCAATCAACCTGAACTATGGAATATAGATGGGTTGCTGTTGATTGATTCTTCCATTGTTTGTGTCTTGTCCTTCTAACTCTTAGCCCAATATGCTTTATATGCTTGTTTAATGTTCCCGTGTATTGGACAATCTGATGGTTTTTAACTTCTGCTAAAAAAATGTGCAGATTCATACGTTCAAAAAAGCATGTGTAGCTGCTTACCCAAGCACTGTGCAGAATAATATCTTGTGGTTTTGGCCAAATACTGATCCTCAATACAAAGATATTATTGCAAGAAAAAAGCCCCCATATATACCTGAAATAGATGATCCATCATATACCAGCTTAATGGGAAACAGAGATATTCATTATGGGTATGATTTTAAGACTAGAATGTATGATATTTCCTGTGTTGTAGAACTCTTAACACATCTGTATATGCCTCACTTTCTTTTACATGAAAAAAAGAAAAGAAAACTGGAAGCACCTCTAATGTGATTGTTATTTGCGGTTATTGATATAATTATTTTAGTTGATTCTGGAAGATGAAAACACTACCATTGTATTATGCATATATCCAAGAGAGTTTTTCTCCCATTCTTCTTTGACATGAGTGTTGTAACAAAATGTCTGCAATAAAAAAGAATGAATTTGCATGCTAGGGTATGAAAATCATTTTTCATGCTTAGTTTATCTTTCTAACGAAATGAATATGCAATTTTAGGTATGAGGTACTGACAGAAAATCTTATGGACCCTGCACATGTTCCATATGCACACTATGGAATAATGCGTACTGCGGAACCAAAAGGCAGGCATATTAGATAAATCTTGTAACTTCAGTAATTTATTTTATTTACTTTATATGTGACACTTACTTGCATATGGCTTAATTAACTTGACAGTGAAAGCTGATAGAGAAGGGGGCAGGCCGCTTGAATTGGCAATTGAAAAGTTAGATATCAATGGTTTCTCAGCAGATCAGGGTTGGAGCAGAGGAAAATTTATGCCACCATGCATTTTTTATGCTTATAAACCAGATCAACCTGCATCATCTGCTGAAACTCAGGTAACACGTTGAGTAGATATCATATACAAACAATCCCAAGACAGTTTTTACAAGGGTGTTGCATAATGTGTTAATTAACATAAGTTGACTAATATGTGTTAAACTTAATGCAGAAATCATCATTTCAGAAGAAATTTTCTTTAATCTTTATTTGTGTTCCGGTTAGTCCTGGTAAAAGCAGATTGATATGGTGCTTCCCAAGAAACTTTGGAGTGTGGATTGATAAAATTGTACCACGATGGATATTTCATGTGGGACAAAACCTGATTCTAGATTCAGATTTATATCTTCTCCATGTTGAGGTAATTCCTGTTGTGGTTTATAAATTATTTATCCTGTTGACTAGTTGGTTCTATCAGTCTATTTTTTCCTCTTCAAGTTATTATAAGTTCTGCTGATCAAATAAACTGAACTAACACACTGACAGATTTAGGAGCTTCTGCTACCATAAAAGAGGAATACAAGAAAAACATTAGTTTTTATTATGTTAATAATAGCAATATCAAATTCAAATTCGACCACTGTGGCAATTTTTTCAATAGATTAGGTTATTCTGCTTGTCTTTGTCCTGATTAATTTATGAGGCCAATTGCATTGAAATATCTAATCAAAATATTAGTTGATGATGTTTTCACTGCAAATGCTTGGTACTGCTACGCAAAGTAGTTTTCATGTGGACTTTACTATTATATTTGTGCACAGGTTATTAATTTATAATTTCTCTTTCTCTAGATTTTCGTAATTAATTTTTTATATTAGCTTCTTTAATTATGACAGATTGGCTTTATTGAAAATCTATTTTCTTCTAATTTGAGTAGACTCAATCAAATTGTTTGTCTTGGGTGAATGGGTGGACTTTTTCAGGTTAAATGCAAATTGCACATTCATATTTCCTACCTGAATTATTTTGCCGTTGGTCAAATTTTTGGGGAAGATCTTATCTGATTGTAACTTGGAAATAAATCCTTCCTACAAGCTGCTGCTGTATAATTCCACCAATGCTTCGGATTTTATGATTGAATACCTCTTAGAATAGTGAATAATTTTACTTAACAGTGATTCAAATTCTTAATCATTTTAACATTTATATTTTAACAACCAAGCTCTAATACATCCTTGCCTGTTGCCACTGGTATTATGTTCTACATCTGAACAAAATTGGGTACCTTTTTCTTTCTTTCTCCTTCTTCCTCCTTGTCTTTTGTGGCCTCTTTTATTTTCTCCGGTTTAAGTGTAACAGAGAAATGTAATATGTCCCTTGAAAACAATTTAATGGTTTGATTGCCCATATTTGGTTAATAAATTCTTTTGATAGGAACAAAAAATAATGGATGTTGGCCAAGCCAATTGGCAAAAAGCATGTTTTGTGCCTACAAAGTCAGATGCACTTGTGGTTGCTTTTAGAAAGTGGTTAAAGAAGTATGCAGGTGGTCAAGTTGATTGGAGAGGAAAGTATAGTGGGGTTCTTCCTCCAACACCTCCCAGAGAACAGCTTATGGACAGGTAACTGACATAAGATTGCACTTTAACATGAATGTTTCTATTTAGTTATATATTCCAAATACTGTTCGTTTGTTAGTGAAATATAAGGGTAAACACCCTTTTTGGTCCCTGACAATATCTACGAAATCCTTTTTAGTCCCTGGCAATAAAAAAGGACCAAATTGGTCCCTAAAATTATGAAAAAAGGACCACATTAGTCATTATGTCAACTCCTCCATCACTAACGTAGCCCTTTTTACATACTGTTAGGGACCAATTTGGTCCTTTTTTATTGTCAGGGACTAAAAAGGATTTCGTCGATATTGCCGGGGACCAAAAAGGGTATTTACTCGAAATATAATATAAGGCTTTCACCTAATAGCTTAAAGTTTTCGGTTGAATTGATTCTTTACACAATTTTCATTAATATGTGAAGTTTGAAGGGAAGAACTATAAATACTTACTCTTCATTTCAAATTAATTTACAACAGGTACTGGTCCCATGTGGTGAATTGCCGAAGTTGCAATTTTGCTTATAAGAGCCTCAATGTGGTTGAAGTGATGCTGCAGATCATATCTGTTGCTTCAATTGGGATTGTTGCCACAATGAAGCAAGGTATGATGTCAGCCACAACAAGAAATTCAATGGTTGTGTTGGCAATACTATCATTTGCGTTGTCTCGATGGTTAGCTCACTTCATATATAAAAACTTCCGTTATCATGATTACAACCATGCCTTTCGCTGAAATGTGTTTCCCTAGTTCTTGATGTCCAATTATATGTATAGTGAAGCTCTACATGCACAAAGCCACTTACGGAACCTTTGTTCATATATATGTTAGAATTATTCATACACACTTGTAGTGGTTGTGATGTATAGCAATTAAGATTTATTATTATTTCCTTATTATAGTTTTCTGTTATTATTATATTAGTTTATCTTTATCTTAGTTGTTTAAATTATCTTATGAGTGTTACTAGTTTTAAATTCAAATTAGGATTTTTTTTTTTATCTTTGTTGAAGTTGCAATTCTATAAATTATTAACTCACTGTCGAAAGAAGAAGAAAATAATTCAAATCTCCTTCCTAATGTCTCAATATCCTCCTCAATCCCCTGTCTTTCCAGTTCTTTTTATCTCTAGTCTCTCTCCATCCTTCTAATTCTGTTCTCAACATAATGTTAGGGCATGTATCGATACTTACAAACCATAAACATGAATCAAACTCAAGACGCTAAGTTGATGCAGTTTAATCTTTTTAGTTGTTCTGTCCTAGGTATAGATATGTCTAGTCTAATGTCAATATTGGATCTGAATACCCTCTCTTTCAGGTACCTATAGGTGAGGTACTTAGAGAATAGAGTGTGCACAGTGACAACCAAGAAAGAGAGAGTTTAGAGAGTGTATTCTATTGGCTTAACCCTTTATTTATAGACTGGTTATTTGACAAGAGTGAATTTCTGGATCTCTTAGAAATATTGGGAGTCCAGCTCTTGATCCATTGTTGCCATGTTAAATACAATTAAGGAGTATATTTTTAGCTGTTAACCCTTCTTGAGTCTCTATAACATGGGCCTTCGTCAGGTCCATGACATAAGTCAACTCAAATTCCCCTTGCCATGCCATGAGTTTTGTTGGTTTGAACTTTGAAAAAAAAAAAAAAATTCTTTCAAACTTTATCACATTGGAAGCATCCACCAAAATTAAGTTCAAGGTCTTCAAATTCATTAATGAATTTGAGATTATTATAAAGTTAAAATACTAAGCAACGTCAAAGACTGAAGGAATAATCGTTTTTCATTCTTAGAGAACAATGCATTATTTACTAGAGTTCCAACAAATGATGGAGAAAATGTCATCAAGACTTAGCAGGTATGTTTTTTGACATGGCGGATGCGCTTAGCCCCTCCATTAAGTTTCGCTGTGCTATTTATGTTCCTTGGATGCATCTTACCTTACGAAGTCAACTCTAAATTGGTCATTTCATCAAAAATAAAAATAAAAAATTATATTTTATTCATTAATAATTATATTTTACTTTCCATAATAAAGATCTTTCACTTTGAAAATCCAAATCTATTAAAGAGGTCGATCTAATGTAGTTGACACAATACCATTGGCCTACTTAAAGAGTGCATTTTTAATATCATGGAGCATCCAAGGAGTATTAGTGTCATTTGAATTGAGACATCTGTATTTAATAAGATAATTATTAATGTTTGTCTTTATTTTTCTCTCTCTCTTCTACGCTGACATATTATTATATTAATACAGGTGTCATTTGAATCGAAGATAATTATTAATGTTTGTCTTTATTTTTCTCTCTCTCTTCTACGCTGACATATTATTATATTAATACAGGTGTCATTCGAATCGAGACACCTGTATTTATTAAGATAGTCACCAATGTCTGTCTGTCTATCTTTATTTTTTATTTTTTTCTATCCTCTATGCTAACATATTATCATATCAATATAGGTGTTTGATTTTTATTAGAAGGATGGGGGGGGGGGGGGGGTTTAGAAGGATGCATGGAAAAATGAATGACACAAGTGTATGTTTCCTTAAAACATAGGAGGTTAGAGGGGGGAATCCTACCAATCCCTTTTTTTACACAGGTGTATGTTTCCTTAATTTTTTCATAAAAATAATATTTTAAAGAGATTAATTAGTATAAATAGGATTTATTCTTGTTTACTATTATGTTCTAATTTTTTAAACGATCCTTATTTGATTTATAATAAAAAAATTTATAATTTGTCTTTTTTGTTTTTGTTTTTATTTTAAAAAGATAGGTTAGGTCTATAATTCAACCTCCATCAAATTAATAAACTAAGCCACACTAAAAATATTCAACCTAGCCCTAACCTAATATTACGTCTCCATTTAACATGAAAAAAAATCTCAATCATCTATAATTTGTAATGACAAATTAACAGTAAACAAATGAAATGAAATAACCATAAATATCAGGACAAAATTCAATGAAACTTTTCCAGCAAGAAAAGAAAACAATCATTTTAATTTGATTTGTCATAAAAAAAATTTAAGAATAAAAAAACTTTCATTACAATGTTACAACGAGACATGGAAACTGCAGACAAAAACCAAAAAACTAAATAGGGAACAAACTAGTTACAGGGCACACCAGTGTGAATGCTGCGATATAGTGAAACCCTTGGTTTACTTGAAAGAAGAAGAAGTAAAGTAAGTGTTAAAGCGTAAACACAAAAAGTTAACACAGCGAGTTTAATGACCGTGACTCACTAACAGATTCAGATCCACACTCATAATCATCATCATCATCATTAACAACCACTACCCCACTCTTTTCTCTTTATTCTTACGACCCTTCTCCACTCTACATTCAGATCTCAAAAACAAATAATGAAGGACTCAAATCCCAGTAGCAGTAGCAGCAGAACCGAACCCATAGCACAAAACCTCATCAAACTCATAAGCAACCTCTGTTTCTCACTCTTCGTTTTCTCAGTACTCATCTTCACTGTCATTGCCATCACTTACCAACCCCCTGACCCATGGCTTCAATCAGCACCTGCACTCACCAACCTCTTCACTCAATCAGAAAACGCCACCTTCCAAATCGACACCTCCATCATTAAAACCGGCGAGGACCTCTCCCCTTCGCCGCAGGATCCTCCACTCCCTCTTCTTCCTCCCGCCGCCGTCCCCGCCGTCACCGAAGCTGTTATTGAGAAGGAGGAGCGAGTCTTCAATTCCACACCCTCCCGCCCCGATTGCGACGATCTCCGCAGCGGAACCCTAAATTGCTCCGACCCTCGCGTACTCATCGCCGTGCAGAGGTTCAACCTCCGCGCCTTCAAGTCCATCTCCTTCTTCGAGTATCAGCCGCCGGTTAACGGCTCCGCCCCCGGCGAGTGCGACGTCGCGTGGCGGTTCCGCAACAAGAGGGAGAAGTCGTGGCGGAAGTACCGCGATTTCCGGCGGTTCAGGATTGGCGTTGCTGATGATTGTAAGTACAAGGTTATCCACGCCGGCGGCTGGCATTCCGGCACCAATGCCCGGCGTAACTCGACCCGAATCGGTGCTCGTAATGGTAAGGGTAAAACCGTGCCGCGAATTACGAAACCAAACCGTGATGATGAGATCAATGACACGATTCCTGTTTTGGGATCGGAGAGTAGTTTTAGGAATGGGAAGTATTTGTATTACTCGCGGGGTGGGGATTATTGCAAGGGGATGAATCATTACTTGTGGAGTTTATTGTGTGGGTTGGGTGAGGCTATGTATTTGAATCGGACTTTTGTTATGGATTTGAGTCTTTGCTTGGCTGCAACTTATAATCCTAGTAACAAGGATGAAGAAGGGAAGGATTTTAGGTACTATTTTGATTTTGAGCATTTGAAGGAGGTGACTTCCATTGTGGAGGAGGGTGAGTTCTTGAGAGATTGGAAGAAATGGGACAAGACACATGTTAAGAAGAAGAAGGTTCCTGTTAGGAAGGTTGTGACCCATAAGGTGACTCCATTGCAGCTTAAGAAAGATAAGAGCAGCATCATATGGAGGCAGTTTGATGCCCCTGAGCCTGAGAATTATTGGTACAGGGTTTGTGAGGGTCAGGCTGCAAACTATATTCAGAGGCCTTGGCATGCTTTGTGGAAATCCAAGAGGTTGATGAATATTGTTACAGAGATCAGTGGAAGATTGGACTGGGATTTTGATGCACTCCATGTTGTTCGGGGAGAGAAAGCTCAGAATAAGGAGCTATGGCCTCATTTGGATTCCGACACTTCACCGGATGCTCTTCTTGAGAAGCTTAAAGGGATGATTCAGCCTAGGAGAAACTTGTATATTGCCACCAACGAGCCTTTTTATAATTACTTTGATAAATTGAGATCGAATTTCGAGGTCCGTTTGCTTGATGATTATAAGGAACTGTGGGGGAATACGAGTGAGTGGTACAACGGAACGAGTCTTCTCAACAATGGAAAGCCTGTTGAGTTTGATGGGTACATGAGAGTTGCAGTGGATACAGAGGTCTTTTACCGTGGAAAGACACGTGTGGAAACTTTCTATAATTTGACTAAAGATTGCAAGGACGGAGTTAATACATGCTGATCAGGTCGGCACTACTGATTTTGATGCTTATTCAGAATTTATAGTTCAATCAGGTCTTCCTTGTCGATTCAGTTTCAGATTCATACCATTGGGTTAAATTTAAGCTTATTGTTTTACTTGCTTGTTCTTTTATTGTATTGATGATTTATGTTGATTATCATGATTTTGTATACATACTATAGAATCCATTTCTCTCCTTATTGATTCGCTTAATTTTTACACTTTCTCAGAAGCTGTTAAATTAAATCCCTTCCCTCATTATCTCCATCTCGTTTCTCTTTAGAATATTTGTTCCTAGCATGACCAAACCAAATTGAACATTAAGAAGGACTTCGAGGCCAGGCTAGCGAATGCAACATGCGCTGAAGCTTTTTAAGAATATATTTGACGTTTAGATTTGGGTAGTGAGTGTAGTTGCTCTGGATTACAATTTTCCTAGCTAAAACGAAATAGGGACATATATGCAATGAATGTTCACATTATTTCCTTTTTAAACACAAATTGTTACCATGATGAATCTTCCAAGGCCCAAGCAAACTTTTTTTTTGACCTCAATCCTACAAGCTCTGCAAAGCCCTAATTTATATTTCTTATTTTTTCCTATTCTAAAAGGGGGCGAACTGGAACAACGGTAAAACTGTTCCTTTTATTTTTTCCTATTCTAACCCCTATATCTGCCTTTATTTCCATCATTTCTGTATTTATATAATTGGAATAACTTGTCTTTTTGACATCTAGGAATTGCCATTTTCGTGGCAGACCACTATCCCCTCGTCGCCATCCATTAATGATGCTACTTTGAATTCATTCTTACACCTCAAGGATGGATTTCATTTCTAAACAACTTTTTATTTATTTATTTACTATCTGATTCTTCTCGTCGTGTGCATTCTTTGGTTCTGGTCCTTATTGTTGCAATCAAGACTTTTTTGTAGCTAGTGCCTTGCCTTTAGCTATGAAAGTCCCCTTGCTTTGTAACTAATACATAAATACCTTGTGATTGCAGAGTGTTCCTAAAGTTGAAATAGAGAAACTTACTTGGGTTTTCAGATTTAAGGGGAACTTTATTTTGTAATTCATCAGTTCCATCCAAAATTGCATGAAAGAGTTCTACGTTTGAAAGTTTTCCTATATATTGAGAAACATCTGCATTGAAGGTCTTACTTTTGACCAATGTGACAGTGACGAATTTGTTGGTTTTGCCTAAACTGATATTCTAAGGTTTCAACATAGCTGGCAAGAGGTAGTTTCAATCATATTGTTTCTACTGTGATCCGAGAAGGATATTTTGTTTCAGTTCTTGCATTCATCATCTGTATTCTATTTTATTTGGGTTTTCATCCGTGGCGAAGCCCGAAGAGGAAACAGTTATATGTTCTGCTACAGGTTTATATAGACAAACTAATTTGGGTTTTCTCCCACCCATTCCACATTTGTTTTGCTAAATTTGGGTTACCAAGGGGCCAACCTTTACTGTGAATGCTCTAAAAATTGAGAGACTTGGCAATGCAACAGATAAGACCTGCAACAATCCTCGCAGATATAATTATATTCCTGGCGGAGGGGTTAGTAAACCTTCATCCATACCTTTCTCAAACAATCAGGGCAGGAAATCATAGTGTCCTGTTTCAACATTTAGAATGCCCTTTTTTCTGAAATCTCCGAAGATCCTTTTTTTGTTCCTCCATAAAGTTCCCAACAAATTTAATGTTAAAATTTGTGTTCCAAAACTTCAGACTTGACGTTGTATTCGTGTGACAAATTAACACACAGTCAGCATTAATATGTACTGTACATTGTACTAAAAAAAAAATTGTACTGTTTCATGTGTTAGTTAACATGACCATATCGTATGGGAGAATCCTAATCATATATGGATGGATCATTGGTGATAAGAGAAAAAAGAAAAAAAATATAAGGATAGAAAATTACAAAATTATTACCGTTAATTTAATTATTGATATTTCACATCACATGGTCATAATTGTTATTCTTTTTGTTTTTACTATTTTAGTTAAACTTCTATTGCTTTATTTAGTTATAAACTTGCCTTGGTGAGGCACACTGGATGTATCCTAGTCCGCCCAAACATAGCAAAGCCCTGCAACAGACGTAGTCAGCATAATTAAGAACGGATGTTAACTTTTACCATTTATGCATCTAAAAAATGGTTGTTAATCAAGTCCTTCACGCCAGAAGGGTTGGTAATCTCATCAAATGACCGATCTGACTAATAGCAACTTAAAGCTGAAAAATCAACATCAATTTGGGTGGTTTGATAGGAAAAGCAAAATACATTATTAATTCATTTTATTCTCTTTACTTTAGTTAAATCGTAACAAAAATCATGCCCTTTATTTGGAATGTTGTTGTATAAGTTCAAGGATTTATTAATGTTTTAAAAAGCAGCCTCAATCACCAAGTTGAATTGGGTTTGCATCCTGAGTCAACTATGTCCCGACTATTAAACTACAATTTAAACCACTTAATTGATTTAAAAATCTCGCCAATTTGTTCACTTTGTAGTATGTCAATTAATTAGTATGCGTTGTGTTGCATTTGGTCTACTATGTAAAAAATTTGTTAATAAAGGTGTTGGCTTAAAAATTGCGATAAAAATTTAAATGTAAGAACATTATTTCACCCGTTGGTGTCTAAATTAATAAATCTTTAAAATATAGTCCTACTTATACAATCTTGTTGACAGTTAAAAAACAAAACAAAAACCCGTACATCTTCATTATTCCAATTTTACCGGGCACACATCACACATCACAAGTTACATTAATCATCAAACAAATTACACTATTCATTTGGTTAATTATTCTAACTCAACCAATAGTGAACAAATCAAATTGTAGCGTAGCGTCCCTCACGCAACCATAGATTTTTTAAACAATAAAAGGCAATTATCCAGAACATGGTTCATGAGCGCCAAAACCCAAAGCAGAGATAGAGACTGAAGAGAGTAAAACCAAAGCAACATATTAATCGTATATTATGCTACATCTTTTTGACAAAATAAATAAAAATGATCAAAATCTAACGTTTAAAGTCTAGCTATAGATCACTAGATTCACTACAAAACGTAAGTGACGTCTCCAGTCATGCCGACTATTCATCCTCCTGGCTGCGGAGCCTGGCTGTTTTGTTTGTCACAACAACATCAAGCTGCGCAGCTCTTTCAACTATGTCCTTTCTCTTTCTTGTAGATACATTGTGAGCAATCTCAGCACAGTAAGTCCTAAAATAAAGAAAAATTGAAGTGTTCAGAAGACATTAGTTGCAAAGCAGTAAATTCATAACCAATATGGGATAAAATGCTTCACCTGTTATGCATCATGAGCAGTTCCAAGTCCTTCACATTGTGAACAACAAATTTTTTGAAACCATTTGGGAGATAGTGACGAGTCTTCTTGTCTGATCCATAACCAATGTTTGGCATCAAAGTGCATCCCTTGAACTTTCTCCTGACTCGAGAATCTATACCCTTGGGTCGCCGCCAGCTTGGCTGTTGAAAAAAAATTAGACAAGATATGTTAAGATAGAACAAAGACAACCAATTGTAACCCATTTCACAATCAAAATACCAATAAGGTTAATTAAGGTCTAAAATCCAATATAAGAAAATGTGTCTCTCGGCAAGCATGAATGCATAACTGAAATAGCAAAAGAAATTTAAAATTCTTATTTCTTTAATGATGAGAAAAAAGGTTCTTCATTACACGAGGAAGCAACATCTTTAGCTAGGAAAAAAGTAATATATTTGGATCAAGATGTAAACAGTTTAGTAGTAACAGAAGGCTTATATTGCAAGAAAGCCTAATGTGTCGCAAAATCTGTATAAAATCCATATATGCCCCTTCAAACGAAATGTCCAGCCACAGCAAAAAAATCTGGACATCAGATACAATGGGCAAAAAATACATGATAGTTAATAGACATCAAGAAAATATGAATCTTGATCTGCAACCTCAGCCGAAAGATGGTGATATTCAGGATAATAATCACGCTTAATCAGAATATTATAGAAATTTCATCACAGATTGCAGATCAGAAAATTTTCAAAAAAAGCAAAATATAATAAACAAGACAGGTTCAATAAAATTTTAATTTCTCTTAAAGAAAGAAATTCTTCAATGCATGAGGAAGAAACATTTTACTCAATGAAGAGTTCTTATAGATGTAAACAGGGAAATAGTAACAGAAGGCTTATATTGAAAGAAAGCCAGATGTGTCGCAAGACCTGTTTAGAATCTTTATATGCCCTTTAAAACGAGATGTCCAGCTACAAGACAAAAGTCTGACTCTGGACATCAGATACCATGGGCAAATAAACATGATATTTTAAAACACTGATAATAACCACAAATTAGTGACAATAAACTACACAACATAAACTAGATATGAAAAATACAAGAGATCAGATGGTAGTGCATGTTAGTAATCATCATTCAAATTGCAGAATAGATGGATAAACATCATCATATCTCATTGCATTTCATAATACAAAAACAACATATACAAGGAGGAATCATAAATACAAGACAAACAATACCACAAGATTGGTTTAAATGGTAAAATTGAAAACGCAGAGTGAATAAGATGCAAGACAAACTATCAATTTGTGTGCATATTCATTAGGAGATCAGGGATCAGACAGTTAATCTTTCACCAGGGTGCACCAAAGGAGCAAGTAAGACTGGGTGTCAAAAACTTGTCATCAAATCCCAACGTCCAAATGAAAACAAAAAAAAACGAGAAAGGCTTAACAAACAAAACAACGGAAAAAAATCGAAATGATTAAACAAAAAAACTCCTCCAATAGTGTTAGAAAACAAGTTATAATAATTCATTTATAATAGATGAGATCAGATAGTCGATCTTTCACCACATATAAATATAGATAGTAAGACTGGGTGTCAACAACTTATCCTCATATCTCATTTGTCCAAAAACATCAAGTGAAATAATATGTCAAACCAAGACAAAAAAAGTATACCACGAAACACACAAGATGATTTTTTTTAAAAAAAAAACCTGGTTAATTCGAATTTATTCCTACTTCAGGAGAATAAAATTGACAATAAATAGCAGATAGAAAATAAACAGCAGGATCAGATAAAATGTCTATCACCATCTTACACCTTCTAGTGCAAATTAAGACTGGGGCGACAAATACTATCATCACATCCTTTCCAAACACAAACGAATCCTCTACCACGCGATTATGATGAAATCCATGTTGATAATAAATTAAAATTCCAAAAACAAGAATCTCTTTGTGCAACGCCGATGCACACAATCCAGACTTTTTTGAATCCAAAAAAATGTATACCTTCACGGAGATCTTGCGATCACTCTGTGGCCTCTTGAACCTCTTGACCCGCTTCTTTATGATCTTCTTCGAGAGTAACGGCACAGCCATTTTCGCTAACCTAGCTTGGTGTGAAGGCTGGGAATACACTAGCTTGGTATATATAAGCGCTGCGTCTAGGGTTTTATATTAGAACAACGCGACGCACCTATTCTAGGGTTTGTTTTTTTGGAATTGGGCCAAGTTGGGGCTATAGTGAGTCTTTAGGCTTGTCAATTTTATTGGGCTAACAAGGTTGAAAGAAGAGTCCAAACTCTTTAACGTAGCCCAATTTGTATCCATAGGATCAAGAATCTCCGGCGCACGCGCACACAGTATATATATATATATATATATATATAAAAGAAGGGAAACTATACTCTTGCATAAGATTACTTTCTCGTTTTACACTCACATAAAAAGATGTGCATCTCTTTTCTTTTCTTTTTCTTTTTTTTTAAATTGATGGGCTCCACTTAATTTATCTCACAACATGAGATAACTTCTCTCCTACAACATGAGAAAAGTAAAACCCATATAAGAATAATAAGTTTTACATCAGATCTTAATCGTTGATTTGCGTGCATTTAACGGTTAAGATTTGTTGTGTCTCATTAATTAATCAATCATTAATTTTCATTAAATTTTAATCGTTAGATGCACGAAAATCAACGTTAAGATTTTGTGTAAGAATTATTATTCTTGTAAATTGATCCTATCCCATACATATTTATGGCAAAAACATTTCTCAAGCTGCTTGAAGAAAATTTATCTCCGGCCACCCCAAAACTATGTCGTTTTGATTATATATTTCCTTATATGTATTAATTCACCTTTGAATGATAATGATTCCCCTTTTCTCTCTTTTACGGTTATGATTTAGTAGCCGGAGATAACTTTATCTCCGGCAGCTTGAGAAATAATAAGCCTTATATATATATATATATATATATATATATAGGAAAAACATTTTCTCATGTTGCATGAGAATTCAATTTTTTTTTTTTAATAAATGTGGGGCCTACCACTAGTTGAGTCTCAACATGAGAATTCAATTCTCATGTAACATGAGAAAATCAAACCCCATATATATATATATATATATATATATATATATATATATATATATTTATATATATATGGCATGATATTCTTACACCAGTATAAGAGTTAGAAATCTTACACTCAATCTTGATCATTGATCCACTTGTATCCAATGACTTACATTACTAAAAAATTAGAGCCCTTAGATATAAGTGAGATCAATGGTCAAGATTGAGAGTATAATTTACATTGATGTAAAATGAGATATATATATATATATATATATATATAAAATAAAGATGATCGGTGAAAAAAAATTAATTTTTATCGTCTATGTAAAATTAAAAATAAAAATAAAAAGACCAAGTGTAAGAAATAAAAGAACAAATAAAAGAACAGTAAGTATGGGTGGGTAAATGATGTGGATGTTAATTGTCTTGTAGTAATAACTTAATTAGTTGTGACCACTGATTCAGTAAAGTGAGTGAGACTTCACACTGTTGAGTTATGTCTCTCCACTTTTCACATTCCTTCAACGTTGTTAAAGTCCAAAAGAGTTAGATGCATGAAGGAACACACCTTCATCACATTCACATTGCAATCTAAATCTTCTCGTACCTACCTATATCCCTATCTACATATAGGTCGTGTTTTTTTTTCTGGGTGTGTTTTTACTGAATGGGGTTCGAACTTTGAATTGAATGGTTGCAGGGTTTTAGTTTCAGGTGAAGTGAGTGTTCTGTTGTGTCCCAACTCTTGACTAGTATTTTACTTTACTCAGAAGAGTAGCTTGTGAACAGTAACTCTTGCAGGGTTTTCAGATCAGGTATGTTTTATTTACCACAATACTCTATTTGCTTATTCATTCGTATCGTGTGTGTTTCTGTTTCTGTTTCTGACACGACAAACGAGGGGGTTTTCATGATCTAAGTTTTAGCTTGCTTGCTTCTTCATGTGCCTGGGAGATTGATCCCTTGTTTCGTTGACTTACTTTCTTTTACTTTGAGGCCTTTTACTGTTCCTTCACGCTTCTTTTTTGTTTCTTTATAAACCCTTTGTTTGGTAATGAGGGTTTGGTTATGCCCCATTGCCCCTTAATGCTTTTTGTAAACTTGTTTTCCCTCTTATCTCTGTTTTTTTTTTTTAGGAAACATAGTAGTTGTTTAGTTATTACGTTGTTCAACTAAGCCTTGATATGTTTATGTTAATTTTTTATTGTGTACAATGCACCTATGAGGTTAAAGCCAATCCTTCCTAATAGTTTGTGATTCCAGAAATTTGTGTTTTTGTATTACCTTGAGAACTTGTGCTTACTAGATTTGATTTTTGTACATCAGTTTTATTATATAAGAGTGCATATAAACATGTGCAACCTAGTTTCTTCTCTAGTTTGAATTGCTTCTTTTCTGATGTACAATTTTTTGTGCTCTTGTCCATTGTTCTTGAAGGACTTTTGATTATTATTGTTTCATCCAACTGGCGGACTTTGTTTAGTTATCTTTTTCTTTTGTGTTTATATTATTTGATTTTAGCTTTTGAAAATGTGATTTCGTATTTATTGCTGAAGTTTGATAGCGAAGGCTTTGCCTGGCAGCTATATTGGGCTGAATTTGCTGACTGAGGTGATGTTGGATGTGATGAAGCTTAAAAGATGGCTCGCAAGTGTTTTGTTGCTCACTATTGTTATGCTAACCTCCTCTACATTAGGTAATTTATACCTCTCTTAGTATTTTTCTTATTTCTTTTATCTATCTCAATTTGACTTTTCTACTTTCTTTTTATTCACATGATCAGTCCACTCTATTGTCCAGACTCCAGACTGCTTTTGTGGTTATGTTATGTGTCTATTAAATTTTGGATCAAAAGTATCAAGGGCTTTTTAATATTGGAAACTTTTCAGAATATTATTTCCATTTTGACATTTATGCCATAGCTTTTTATTTCAAAATAATTTTTTTTAATTATATAAAAGAATGTCTAAACCATTTTTTCGAATCTAAATCAAATGGCTCATAGGTGATAGCCTAACAATAGCCATGTTGTCTTACTATTTCCCCCCTAAATAAATAGATGTTCTTATTATATCAAGTCTTAAACTGAAACTTATCATGGCAATGACTTTATGAGATTGGATTTATATAGTTTATGTTGTTGGGCTTCCTCCTTCAATGCTAAGCCCAAGCCCATTTGAGGGGTTTCCTAACCCTAACCCTAATTTCCACCTCCTCTATATATACTCATTAGTTGAGGGTGGAGGCTAGGTTAGATTTTGAGAGGTCAGATTTGAGAGAACAAATTTGAGAGAATTATTTGATTGTTTGAGCAAGGCTTTATGCTTTGCATTTGAAAGATCTCTAGAGAGAGAGTTTGAGTGAAACATCTCTATGGTAGTTTGATTATCACCATTGTTGGAGAGGTTGAGTTAACCATCACATTGTTGTATTTGATTATTTGTAACCATTATTTTCATAGTGGATTTTTGATCTGGACTAGGTCCCGTGGGTTTTTACTTCTTCATTCAAGAAGGTTTTCCCACGTTAAATCTGGTTGTGTTCTCCTTCTCTCTCCTGGTGAAGTTCAGGCTGAGGTATTGCCGAGATCCGAGATCAGGATCTTGTTGATTGACTTCCGCACAAAGGCTGCTTAGCCGAGTTTGAGGGAACCGAGTTCCCAACATATGTTGCCCCCTTCCTGTCTCCGTCTTGTTCTGTTTTTGCCATAAATTAAAATTCTGTGATCCAGTTCAACATTAAGGAGTTGGAGGCTTTGATAAGGATCACTTTGGGTGCAGGGAGTAGATGCTTTTAAATGTTTGAAACTTTGCTTTTGGTACTTTTCATTGCCCATCAAATTCTGACTGTAAAATCTTAAGTTCTGCAAGTTGACTGCTGAGTCTCTTACGTTTGCATCTGCATTTATTAAACACAGTTCATGAGCTGTTTTCCTGTATTATTTGATTTCACAGTTAAAATTACTGCTTTTCTTATACGAGATAATAACTATATGCCTGGTACGTTGTTCAGCTTCTTATTTTAAAAACCTGGTTACGATTGCCACAAAGGGGAAGAAATTAAGGGATGTGAATTTGTGACAGATAATTGAACCTCTATTGTCTTTTTGAGCTGATGCCTGATGTGATGTCAAATTTTTGAATTTGTAGGTGCATTTGTGGGGGTAAACATTGGCACTGATGTTTCTGATCTGCCATCTGCTTCAAATGTGGTTGCTATTCTAAAAGCCAATCAAATTACTCACGTGCGTCTGTATGATGCGAATGTGCACTTACTACAAGCCCTTTCAAACTCTAGTATTGAAGTAATTGTTGGTGTCACCAATGAGGAGGTACTGAGGATTGGAGAATCACCATCAGCAGCTGCAGCCTGGGTTAATAAAAATGTAGTTGCCTATGTGCCATCCACCAACATCACAGCAATTGCAGTTGGCAGTGAGGTTCTTTCCACTATCCCAAATGTTGCTCCTGTTTTGGTTCCTGCCATGAATTCTCTTCACAAAGCCCTTGTTGCTGCAAACCTTAATTTACGGGTCAAAGTTTCAACTCCCCAGTCTATGGATATTATCCCTAGGCCTTTTCCTCCTTCTACTGCCACCTTTAACTCGTCATGGAACTCGACTATCTACCAACTCCTTCAGTTTTTGAAGAACACAAACTCCTCCTACATGTTAAATGCATACCCCTACTATGGATACACTAAAGGAAATGGCATTTTCCCTATTGAATATGCCCTTTTCCGACCTCTTCCTTCAGTGAAGCAAATTGTTGACCCGAACACTCTATTCCATTATAACAGTATGTTTGATGCTATGGTGGATGCCACCTATTACTCTATAGAAGCCTTAAATTTCAATGGTATACCCATTGTTGTCACAGAGACTGGCTGGCCATCGTTTGGTGGAGCAAATGAACCAGATGCTACTGCCGAAAATGCTGAGACCTACAATAATAATATGATTCGGCGAGTTCTAAATGATTCAGGTCCGCCTAGTCAGCCAAACATTGCCATTAATACATACATATATGAATTGTTTAATGAAGACAAGAGAAATGGGCCTATATCAGAAAAAAATTGGGGCATCTTTTATACTAATGGAAGTACTGTTTATCCTTTGAGCTTTAGTGCTTCTGGAATTTCTTCAGCTGTTTATTGTGTGGCTAAAGATGGAGCAGACTCTGATAAGCTGCAAGCTGGCCTGAGCTGGGCTTGTGGACATGGCGGAGCAAACTGTGCTGCTATTCAACCAGGGAAGCCATGCTATCTCCCCAATAATCTGAAAAGCCATGCCTCTTTTGCTTATAATGATTATTATCAGAAAAAGCATAGTACGGGTGGAACATGTGACTTTGATGGTACTGCAACAATCACTTCCCAGGATCCTAGTAAGTTGATATGGCTTTTTAATTATTCTGATATGGTACTCTTGTAACATATAGTTATTTCTCTGGACCGTCAGACATATATAATCATCTTCTTTTCAAATTCACACTTACTAATAGCCCTGCGGCAAAATCATAGATTTGGAAGTCTTTGGTTGTTGTCTCTGTTTGAATGACTGATAGGCCAAGAAAGCAGTTATAGTTATGATAACTATTCAAGTTATAGGCACATAGCAATGTGCTTTTCAACTTACTCACGGACACATTCACTGAAGGTTGAATTTTTCCTCCTTCAAAACAGGCCTGGCTGATAAATTTATAGATTCTAAAGTCATTGGTGCCATGTCTCTATTTGACATATGAATAGGGCAAGAAAGCAATTGCAATTTGTTTGGATATGAACCTGAAGATCCTGTTTATTATTTATTAGTTATATATTTTCTTCTTTTTGTTTGATTAGGTTAATGGCATAGCTTTAAATTTTCTTAATTCATTATATTTAAGAACTGCATGTAGAATTGGGATTTTGTAAAATATTTGTAATATAGAGTGATATCTTATCATTTGTGTACTAGTTGAATGAAATACTCATGCAAAGGCGGGTTACTTGTGAAAAAAATGTCGGGTTTTCAATGTCATTTTAAATTTTTTATGTTCTATTATCCATTAATTATTACATAAATTTAACCAAAAAATAAACTAAATATAATCATTGAATCATTCTATGAGTGATGTAAAGTGGTGGGTCTGTAAAGTGCAAATTGGATTTAACATCATTGCTTCCACATTGAATATTAGTCACCCTACTTCAAGTATAGGTCCTGTTTCCTGTTAGCTTACTCGTTAGGATATCCAAATGAATGGAGGGTAGTTTTCTTATTTCTTCAATCATAATGTAATGCATAATTGCTGGATACAGTTTCATTGCTTGATAATACTGAATTGGAGTGATAATTTTAGAATGTTACTCTTCAATTATCTATTAACTTGTCTCGTAGAAATGCCCCAGAGCCTTGCTGGTTGGATCACTAGTAGTATTACTATTGACTGGGTGCATTTCTTTGCATTCATGCAACTTCCTCCTAACAACAATATCATCCCGTAACAGCTCGTAACACTCGTACCCCCATTGAAACAGACCTTGTCCTCAAGGTCCAATAGGAAAGAGAACTGATATCCTCCTGTGTCCCAAATAGAATGGGGGCATGAGCTGCATAATGTGCTGCACTTGCAAAAACAGCATTAAATTTTTTGCAGCTTTGAGTTCCACTGCCAGTGTGACAAAAAAAAAAAAAACCACTCCTCATTAAACCCGACTAGTGAGTGTGGGGTGGAGGTAATCTTTGTACGCAGCCTTACCCTTGCATAATTGCAAAGAGACTGTTTCCTGAATTCGAACCTATGACCTTGTCACGAAAGAACAGTTTTACCACTATTCCGGTTCGCCCCCTTGCCAGTGTGACAAACAAAGGATGAAAAATGGTTTCTCTGAGCTATTTCTTGTGTTGCTTGCGTGACTGGTTTCCCACCATTAGGATCAAGACTATGCTCCATCTCTACTGTTGCAGCACCTTTCTTCAATATGCCCAGTGGATAGATCATGAATATTTGAGTGTGAGCTCCCAGTAACATTGTCAAAGAAATTCGAATGGGTCTGAAGTCGTCTGTTTCTTTCCTAAGGAAAGAGCCAGAATAGGATTTAGAAGAAGAAACAAAATGCAAAGGGAGGGTAGTGGATGTGGTCACTGCAACTGATAAACAACTTGACTTGAGAGAAGGGACTTCCCCATGAAAAGACCACAATAGAGAACGTGAATCTACTGGGTTAGTTTTACCATGGGTCTGTAGTGGTGAACACGGTTTTTGTGACGGCATATAGACTGATTTAGAAACCAAACCTCGCATGTGAGGATTCATGGCCATCATTGTGTTGTAAAGTTGCTGCACCAGACCCGCAAGAGAGTAAGTTGATTTTGTTGATCATCAAATCTGGCTTCTAGGCGCTGCAATTTTGAGTTCAACTCTCAATGCAAGCACCAATTTTACAATAGTAACTATGATAGGGAAGAGAAATGAGGAGAATCAAGGAAACTTGAGATTTTCATTCATTGCATTTCTCAGTTTACAGTTTCTTATCTATACTACTGCTTCATCTATAAGCATCCTTGCTACTAACTCTTACATGCTAACAACTTTTCTAACTAATTGGATATTGTTGCAACTTCCTCCTAACAACAATATCATCCCGTAACAGCTCGTAACATGGACTCTTTCAAAAATGTATCATATAAATTTGTGTGAACATGTCATGATATTTCAAGTTTGTAACTCTCTATTTCATCAATGGTTTTTACCACTGAAATGTTTCTTTGTGAGTATTGTTATATCCATGTGTTGAGGATTTGTAGGAATTTACTTAAGCAATTAATGCTGTGTGCTCTGTTGCAGGTTATGGATCATGTATATTCACCGGAAGGTATAGAATCTTAATATATATGCATCAATGGTTAATTAGATTTCGAAGTATTTCTTACTTTTTAAAATTCTTATCTGATCATGCAATATTATGATGTCAGTTCTAACTCAAGCACCGGTGGAATGAGTTTAGCACCTACGGCACTGGGACCTTCAAGTCCCTTTGGAGCAAGTACGAACCTGCAAGTGTCTAGCCTCCAGTATTTGATATGTGCTGTTGGTGTAATTTTTGCTGTGGTAGTGTTATGACCAAAAGGTCGATGAACTTTAGATTGCAATTCAATGATTCGTGGAATGTAGTTTTCATTGGTTTTGATTGTTACTTTTCTTTAGTTCATTTTATTCTTCATACCTATGTCCCATCTTGTGCATTTGGGGTCTTTGTAATCTATCCTTTAAGATAGAGGGTAGCGGCTTAAATTTAGTTAGAGGAGACTAACCCAAGACGGAGCCTTGAAGAAACTATTGCCTTTGTTCTTCAACAAACAAATGATGCACTTGTGATCATTCTCACCTTCTCTTTTACCTCCTTTTGGGTTAGGGGAAAAAACCCTTATATTAGCATTTTTCTTATCAATCGGTTACATAACTTAATGATAAGGAAATTTGCATACGCTTCATTTGAACTATTTTTAAAAAAGTGGATTCGTTTGAACTATTTAAAAAGTTAACGTGGACCAATGAATACGGGACTATGAAAGATTTGTAAGAAAGAAGTATTTGCAATAGTTTTTTTATTTTTAGAAAAAGAAGTATTCTGGTTTCTTCACTTATTTTTCTTTTTCATTAGTCTTATTTTTTTTTTCAATTGTTCTCTTAATTCTAAGGGCGCGTTTTTTTTTTTAAAAAAAAGAGAGAGGTATGCTAGGATAAGTTATTTTACCATATTTTTATGGAGTAGGTTATATTTACAAATTTTTTTGTTTACAAATTATTCTAAGTACGATCGGTCGTTCTTGGTGTAATTTGTAAAAAATGTTTGTAAACGGATCATATTCTTATTTTTATTATGATAAAACAGATGGTTAATTTATAGGCTTTTCCAAGGAGGGACTTGAATTAGGATACAAAGGAATAAGATAAGAAATTATGACTTTTATATTTTTTTAAATATAAAATGAGAATTAATCTTTAAATAAGTCAAAAGAAAAAAATTAAAAATTAATTTTAAAAAATTATATAAAACCATGTTATAAAGAATATTTTTATATATTTATATCATAACCCAATACTATATAATTATATCATAACAGATGGTTAATTTAGTGCATATTGAATACAGAATAAGATACTAGTTTATGAGACCATATTTTTTCCTACTTTTATTCAACATTCTTATTATATATGTCTTTATCATATCTTAAAGTCCTAAATATTATAGAAAATTATTATAAATTACAATTTTGTGAAAATAACAAAGAAATTATCTTAGGTGACTAATAATGTTATTGCTTCTTTTTTTTTTAATTTTGTATATTTATATCATAACTCAATACTATATATGCTTTTTTTTAATATTATAAAAAAATAATAATGTTATTGCTAGGCTTTTTGACCCTTAATTAATAACTAATTATCAAATTGCCCTTCATTCAAAACTATTTCGAAAATTTACCCTCCCCAACAAACATAACACCAATCTGCCCCTGTTTGACCGTTGACCACGAAGCCTACCCGGGTACACCATTACCTACCCGGGTAATTTTTGAAACTTTTTATCTACCCGAGTATGTAGGGGTGTACCCGGGTAGAGTTCTTGAATCTGGGAAAATGGTTGAATTATTTACCCGGGTATGGAGCAGTGTACCCGGGTAAACATCGACGGTAGGGTTTTAAAATACCCCAGCAGCCCCATTTCGAAAACCCACAAAAGGGGTACCCGAGTAGAGCTGCTGGAGGAGTGTCTTCTTGAGCAATTTCAGGCATAATCTTGCACCAATTCGTCTTGTTTCTGATCATCATTCGCGGACCTTGCAACCTCTTTGCCTTCTACCGATTGAAATCGATCAAAGGTGCATTTTTTTTTTCAGTTTTTTCAATTATGTTATGATTTCTGTTCTGATTCATTGTATTTTCGTTTATATCATTTGATTCTGTCCGAATTATTTTATCAATTTGTATGTCATACGCTTACCCTAACCCTAACCCTGAATCTAACCCTAACCCTAACCCTAACATGTATCTAATTTCTGATTTTGGTTATTTTTTCAGTTTAATAGTGTGACACAATGACCTCTTGACGCGTTTCAAAGCTGCTAGTGACCCATTCCGAGAGAAGAACCAAGAGTCGTCACGATGGGTCGTCATCCTCTCAGCCCCAGGCTGCTTCGAGTCAGGCTCCGGACTTGACGTTCAGATATTTGTTTGAGGATGACATACCTTCACACGAGAAGTTCGTGAAGTTTTTCATGACCCGGAAGATCTGCGAACCGAAATCACTGGATTCAGCATTCTTCAACCTAGAGCGTTTTGACATTGTGCCGCTTCTTGAGCAGACACATTTACTTCACCTGGCGGAGATGCGGTGCCCATACTCGGAGGTTATGGTAAGAGCCTTCTACCAGAACCTTGGCTACTCGCAAGGCGAGCTGACTTCCCGTGTCTGCGGGATTGATATCATCATGACTGCTCCTATCTGGACGGAGCTACTGGGGTTCGATTTTGATGGTGTCACAGGAGAAGCACTATATGATGGAGACAGCCATCATATATTTGGTGATTATAACCGGGAGACCATTGTTACAGAGACTAGGAGGGCAGACGCTGAGCCCGGTCATTTTGCTCATTATCCTGTTAGCAACTTGTCAGTTTCTGCTCGCATTCTTCATTATGTGGTGACACATATTATTTTCCAGCGCCCGCATAATCACTCAAAGGTGCTGGAAGGGGACTTTGCCATCCTGTGGGCCCTCCTTCACAGTCAGCAGGTGAACTGGAGGCATTACATATGCATACTGATGTGGAAGGCAGCCAAGTCAAAGAAGGCTGAATTGCCTTTTGCATTTCTGGTGCAGAAGATTCTGCATAGATTTGGAGTGCCTATGGCAACAGAGACCTTGAAGACCGCCAGAGGCTGGAATGCTATATTTGGTGAGAGGCTCCTGAAGCAGTGTGGGATCCTACCGAACAGAGCGGGTATCTGGACATGGAAGAAGGCACCAGAACCACCTGAGATCCCATTCCACCGCGATGCTGAGATGTAGGATGCACCTGCATGTGATGTGTTGGTCTTTATGAGTTTATGCAATTTTGTGTTGTTTATTTTGTAATGTGGTATTTATAAGATGTGCTTTTCATGGTTTATGATGTAGGCCTTGATGACGATGACGATGATGATGGCGTTGCTGAGGTTGATGTCAGACCGACACGTCCCACCCGCAGTCGGTGACCACCAGCTCCTCTTGAGGGTGGATGGACACTTGATCATGTCATGGCATCCATATATGATCTGACTACTGACTTTAGAGGATATAGACAGAGCACGAGCAAGTGGCGGAACCAGATGGACACAAGGGTTGCACGGTTGGACACAAGGGTTTCACGCTTGGAGGGTTTAATTGGCGAGGGTGCCCATACTCAGGAGGAGGAGGAGGAGGATGATGACAATGGGGATGACACACAATCGGATGAAGAGAATGGGGAGGACACGCCATCGGATTAGTGTGTCCATAGGGTTTCATATCATTGATTTAGTTTGATGTAATGTAGTCATTTTGGTACATTTAGGAACTTTACCTACATTGCATGGATGTTTTTATACTGGATGTTCAAAATTTGAATGAATGAAATTTTCGTTTTGCGCACGTTTAGACTTGTTGGTTCTATGCATTAGTATGGGACCTTGCATTAATATTGTCATAATTAATTTGGAAATCAATTCAACCCAAAGTACTTTAATATTCATGTTCAACTTTCATTGGTGCACATCTTGATTACTGCATCCTATTTCTACGAAATCAATCCACCCCCAAGTCATACTGTATGTAGGTATTACACAACAATTACCAAAATGCAAAAAAAATGGCCAAAACAGCATCTGCAACAGCATCTGCAACTGGTCTACCCGGGTACCACGAACTGGTCTACCCGGGTAGGATGTACTCGGGTATATCATTACGAGTTACCCGGGTAGACCAGTTGCAGATGCAGCAGCAGGTGCTGTTCAATCCATTTTTTTTGCATCTTGGTAATTGATGTGTAATACAATAACCTTAACTGACTCGGGGAAGGGGTAAATGGGTATGGTAGACATTCGGATTGCACAATACGGAACGAGTGACTCGCTAAACTTAACGGATACATTTCAACAACACAAGAATACAGTTCAACAATACATTTCAACAACACAATACATAACTAATACAAGATAAAGTTTAGGGTACAAGGAAACAAAACAATACGTAAAGTGATTGTCATTACAAAACAAAGTACTACACAAAAACAATACGTAATCATGCTTGTCTTAGTCTCAATGGACATGTACGAATGTTATGTCCAACTTGCTTGCAATGCTTACATCTGCTCTGACTGCTAGAGGGTTGAGACTCAACCCAATCCATCTCATTATGAATCCTTGAAGACTTTGGTCTTCCTTTTGCACGTACCAACTGAGCATCCGGAATTACAGTAGGCCCAACAACAGATGGAATCAACAATTCATTGCCAATAGGAAACCAGTGTGCAGCATATACTTTAGCAATGGTTGGAATTTTGAAAACATGATCCACATAATCATAATGGTTTAGCTTGGCTACCTTGCAAACTGCTAATACATGACTGCAGGGATACCTCCTTGTTGTAAACCTACCACACTGACATGTACGATTGATTAAGTCCACTCTCATGGTGTCACTGACCTCGTGTGTAGATTGATTGTAGGCATCCTCAACCTCAAACAATAACAGCTCACTATCATATATCCTCACACGATAAGTGCCGGCCAATTCATCATTTTTTTGCAAAGCTGCCTCAACCTTCTTTGAAATTATCCAACCTTGTGAGATATCTTTTTCAATCCCTTCACGTCTCTTGACGAAATACTCAACGAGTCTACTGAATGTCATCTTGACCAATTCAGTTATAGGCAGATTTCGTGCTCCACGAAGCACCTTATTCACACACTCAGATAGGTTAGTTGTCATATGACCAAACCTACGTCCTGTCTCATCATACGACCTGCACCATTGCTCTTTCGGAATCGCATCCAACCATGAAGCAACTTCAGGATTGTTCTCGATAAATTCCTTGTATCTAATGTCGAAATTTATCTTTGAACATGTGTACCCTGCAAAAAACCATGACATATGCATTGGTTAGTGAATTTCATCAACGTTTTCTTCAAATGGTTGAAAATGTGAGTAATTATACTGTACATTACCTAATTTCATCAACGTTTTCTTCAATTCCACATTCCTAAAACGGGTATTGAAGTTGCTTCCGATGTGACGTAGACAAAATACATGATAAGCATATGGAGGCTGCCACCCTCCGTGATCTTTCACCGCCCTTATGATGCTTCGATGACGATCGGATATTAGACAAATACCATGCCTATGTGTGACATGAAAACGTAAAAGGCTAAGAAACCAGGACCAATCATCCAACCTCTCACCTGGAGGAACAACAACAAAGTCAATAGGGATGGGCTCAGAAATTATTTACAGTATGAAGTGGCAAAAAAGGGTCACATGCTTTCACATACCCCAAAGCAAAATTATTTACTCACCTGGAGGAACAACAACAAAGGCAATAGGGAGCAGAAATCCATCTCCATCCTGAGATGTTGCAATCAATAGAGTACCTCTGTACTTCCCATACAGATGAGTGCCGTCAATTTGAATTATAGGCTTGCAGTGTTTGAATGCTTCAATGCATTGGTGAAATGTCCAAAAAACCCTTTGAAATACGGCCCTGTCTGTATAAACCCGACGTTCATCAAAACATTGATTTGTATCAAGCTTGAACACAGAACCCACATTCACCTCCGTCATATACTTCAGCCAATTTGGCAAGAATCCGTACGATTTCTCCCAGTCACCAAACAACTTAACGATGGCCTTCATTTTTGCCTTCCAGGCCTTCCTGTACGTTATGTTGTATCCATATGTTCCCTGTATCCTCTCCTGTATCAGAGCTGGTCTTGTGGATGGATCTTCCTTTAACATATCTGGAAAAAAAAAATAACTTTACCATATTCTCAATTAATCTGAATCATTAAATACACAGTAGAATACATACTCATTATAGCCGCACAAATGACATTTGAATCCAACTGTCTATGGTCCTGTGCTAGGCCTTGATTTAGGCATGTGTGACCTTGACCCCATTTACGGACCACCCAATTAGCTCCCTTCTTCGGCTTAATTGCCCTCATATACCAGGGACAACCGTCAGCATGGTTTTTACACTTCATAACAAATCTTGACTCGTCGCTTTTTTCAACTATGGCTGTCCTGCGCCCCTTCATACAATGTATCTTCACAGCATGTTGCAATTCTGGTTTGGACCCAAATTCTTGTTGCACAAATAACGGATCTCCTAACTTCCAACCTCCGTGCAAGTCATCATCGCCATATAGAATCTCCAACTCGTCATTAGGGTGCGCCCAGTTAATGAATGAATAATGTTGGCTTTCATTCCAGAATGGCTCCTCAGACCCTGCATCTAAAGATCAACTCTCATTTGTCTGAATGAATACCACCACAAATAATAAATTGTCTAAAGCAAATGTTCAAATTTAATAACTTACCACTACTGACTGGGTCGACATGAAGTGGTGACAAGGCTGGGGTACCGAGACTTACGGCGCTCATGTCAGCCTCAAAATTACCGTCCACGTCAGTGTCTGACGAATCACCTTCTGGAATAGCACTTTCAGGTTCTCCCTCATCTCCGCTGTCCACATAGTCCTCGTCTTCATCCTCATCCAATGCTACCTGAGGAGGTGCAGAAGATCGTACAACTGTATCTTCTTGACCGGTACAGTGTGCAGTAGTGGTTGTATGCACCGGTAAAGATGAAGATTGTCCAACATCAACTTCAACATATATCTCAATATATTTTAATACTTTCCATTCAACAAACGCATCTGTTACGAACTCCACATCTTCATCATCATTTATATCGTTTCCAATGTAGTATATTGTATCCATATCCACTACAGTCTCTAACCTGGCTATCATGCGGTGGATGGAATGTATGCCTTCTGACTCCATTTTTTGAAGAATTCTCTCCTTCAGTTCATTGCATGTAGTGCCCACTTTGATTTTCATCTTTTTTGTTTTTCCTTCAAATCGGACACCGTTCGGACCTTCAAAATGCCTCCCATTGTAGTATATAACTATAGGAACCATGTTTGGACTTGAACTCATCTTTCACACAAAAATTAGATCTAGGTTTTGGGTTTGGAGGTTGGTTCGGATTTTTGAGCACAAAATGGGAGTGTGGAGATGTAATCTCAATGTCCCACCAAGATTCAGCTTTCTGAAATGATGAGATGAAATATGTGTGATGTTTCGGATTAGAGAGGGTAAGAGAGAGAGATTTAGGGTTTCAAAAACCCTATACCTCGCAACAATGGCCGAAACCCATACATATCGGGGTTTCTGGACGCGATTTACCCGGGTACACTGATCCATACCTGGGTAAATAATTCAACCATTTTCCTAGATTCAAGAACTCTACCCGGGTACACTCCTACATACTCGGGTAGATAAAATTTTTCAAAAATTACCCGGGTAGTTAATGGTGTACCCGGGTAGGCTTCGTGGTCAACGGTCAAACAGGGGCAGATTGGTGTTATGTTTGTTGGGGAAAGTAAATTTTCGAAATAATTTTGAACGAAGAAGAATTTGGTAATTAATTATTAATTAAGGTCCCTATGTCATTGTCTCACCATTAAGCAAATTCGTTGCTAGAATTTATTAACATTATTTTGCGCCTCCTCACTTCCTCTTATTTCTCATTATACTAGGGTTTTTGCAAGTAAAATTCAACTCTCTCTCTAATTTATAGTTGAATAAAACTATAATTAATAGGTGGGTGCGTATTGTGTGTTGCGATTTGATTTGATGTCTAAAGTGAGTTCCAGTTCCAGAAGAAGAGAGGCGTAGGCGTAGCACTACACTGATTTCTTTGTTTGTGTTTGTGAAAATCATCGATCGGAAATGGAAGGAGCAATCAACCGAAAAGGGTACGCGTGGGCAGTATATGCCGGATTCAATGCCGCTCTTGCTGCCATTTCCACCAAGCTCTCCGTTCACCAGGTTTTCTTCTCATTCAGAGTTTGTTTCTCCTAATTTTTGCAGATTATTATTATTATTCTTTGATCTTAGATTGTAATACCTAATTTATTGGGAACAGTATATTAGATACGCGCTGGTGTTATTATACAATGTCACTATGTGGGGTTGTTATGTCAACAGTCTTAAGGCTCTCTCTTCTCTTCAAGCAACTGTCACCAATTTTGCTACCAATTTTATCACCTCTGGTTTGGCTGGTTTCTTCTTCTTTCATGAATCACTCTCTCTCCAGGTAACAACTACTATTATTTTTATACATACCCCTTCTCTTCTAAATATTGCTTGCAATTGCTATCTATCCATATATGCCATAGCTAACCCCTAATTCAATTGCATCACTTTGGGCTCAAATCCAAGGATCCCAATTCCTTCAATTTTAGGCCAATTTCACGTTCTGTGCATTTAGAATTTATTTTCCAACACATCAACCCAATAGTGGAAAGAGGGAGGGCCTAGGAAAGGCTGTCGGATTAATATAAACCATTAAAAAGGCCCTCACTCAATAGCTTAAGTTTTTGGGTTGAATTTGTTATCTACACAAGATCATGATCCTCATTGCCCCCCCCCCCCACATTTTTAGTGGAATTAAATAAGCACAAGGTAAATTAAAAATTGGGCATATGCAATATCCACTCTTCAAGCCCAAAAAGCTCCTGCGTGAGATTTCGTGTCAGAGAATAATATAAAATATTAAAAAGGTCCTCTCCCAAAAGCTTAAGTTTTTGGGTTGAATTAGTTCTTTACAAGGACGATCATCTTTTATATAAACCTTTAAATGTCAGCATTATTAACCTTTAATTGTCAGCGTTATTGTGTTGTTTTTGGTCATATATACAGTGATTGCCCCCTTCAAATTCTTAAAAGTCTTTCAGTTTTGAACATAATTTTGTTCTTTTCGTTACATAGATAGTTATAACTTTTAAGAAATACTACACTTGTAATTTCACCTCATTCATGAAATTTTCTGGCTCCGAGTCCGGCATTGCATCAACCTATGGTTGGAACTTGGAATTATTTTTGGATTAAGAATTAATCAGGTGATCTTCTCAAATACTTCAGAATAGAGTTTTAATTTCAAGCGTAGATTGAGTTTGGTATCCCCTTTATATTGGGCTGAAGAATTCAGGGGTGAGCTTTTGGTACAAATTTTCACATAAAGTTCATCTTTGGGTTTCAATTTTTAATGGGCAAACATAACTGACACTTAATGTTGCTCTGCTTCTATATCACTAATAGAGTAGAGGACAAATTGGTTTTCCTTTGTTTGTGACTGCTGATGTTGACAATGCTGGTTATTTGTCTATTATGTATTTGAATTATTGATTCATGCATTTTCTTATACAAAGAACTGTTCCACAGTGGTTTGCAGGTGCCCTACTTATCATAATTGGTGTGGTAATACTTAGCAGCTCAGGTATTGAGAAGAAGGTTAGCACGGATTAGACGTTAAGGCTCAGCGTGATACCTTTCAGGCTTGCTTGTTAAAGATGGAGGCTAACATCTGCAAACCGTATGGAAGTATACTTTGAACAAGAATGTGAAATATCAGGAATAGTCTAGTTAGATCGTTTGCATGGCAATTCGCCTCACATGAAACACAAACTGCGTAATTTGCTTCGTGACTTTGCCAAATTAATAACTCCTGTTATATGCCATTTAGGTTGTGGCAATTGTTGTTATTAGCCGCAAGCAACTTTTAGTTGAACCACCTGATGGTTCTTTTAAGTTATGTTTGTATTATGATTTCAAGCTTCAATTGTTATATTTTTATCTCGGAGCTAGGTATAAGGGAAGTTGAATTTTATCTAAAAGTGATTCGCTCCATTTTCAAAAATCAGCTATATTTATGAATGCAGTTCAACATTCATCTGCAACTACAAGTTTTCTTATTCATCAATTTAGCTCTCCTCTTTTCTTTGGAATTCATTCGATTCAGGTTCAACAGGAGAGGTTTACATAGAGAGAGTATTGCTCCTATCCAATTACAATTAAGAATATGACATGCCATACACTAGTACTACTACTAGTCATTCAAAATGAATCCCAGTTTAAAGACAATAAAAATTGGGGGGCTCCATATTATTTCCCCATCAATAAAAATTAAAGCCCCCATCTTCAACCCATTGAAACTCATTTCATTCCCGTTTCTTGTTAAACACCACTTTGATTCCAATTCAAATTCTGGAATTCCTTCACAAAAGACCATGTCGTACTGCGTGAACGATGACAAGTACCAATCTGATTACTAGCCTTCCTCACCTCTGTAATGTATGTGTAACTTCTGGCATATTGGTCTCTACCAGACCCTTCTAAAATGTGTTTGGCCATTCTTCTTGCAGTGAAAGCCTCGTGTATGGTTGACCCAACAGATTATTTGTTTTGTATCTCTGGAATGATCTCATTCAACTTGGTTTTTTATGACCCAGTCATTTATTTCTAGCACTTTTCAGCAACCCATTTTGATCAACCATTTTTCTTGCCGGTTGCATGAGTTTGTCAACCAATGGCTTCAACCTAAACGTGCTTGTCCTTCCAACTTGACCTTCCAATGCAACAAATTTGCATTTGACTTGGCATATCTAACTCTAACCCTTTTGGTATAACTTCAGTTGCCTTCCGGTCAAGATTGCATATTATTGAATTGCTTCTTTGAGCACTTTTCTAGAATCAAACTCCATGCCAAGTTTGAAGTTTGCATATGATACTGATGGCTTTGACAGCTTAGCAGGTGTTCGGAAGTGTTAAATCTTCCCCAACAACAACTTCACATCATTTTTTGATGATCCACATGGACCTCGATTCAATGGCCACCTTTGATGGCACATTGTAATTGTTACTTGACGTACCCACCCACACAAGTAATTAACAACTAGATCAAATTGGTGATGCAAGGAAAGAATCACTTGAAAAAGAAATTGTTTATTGTAGGACTAATTCGCAAAATTTAGAAAGGATAGACCAAAATTAAAAAAAATTATTTAGAGGAATAAAAATTGGGATAAGATACTTTTGATACCAGTGTCAAATTTTTTAGTTTGACACCAAATCTTAACCGTTGATTTTCGTCAATCAACGATTATAATTTAATGCGAATTACTAATTAATTAATAAATTTGACTCAATAAATTATAATCATTGATTGATGAAAATCAACGATTAAGATCTGATGTCAAACTAAAAAGTTTTACACTAATATCAAAGAATCTTGCCCTATAAAAAAAAAAAATTTAAACCAATGTTCATAAAAGTTGCTTGGTTAATATGGGATCTGACCTTTCTCAAAATCTACTATGACAGTTCATTCGAATTTGTCTAATAAATCATAACTGTTGACATTGATAGGACACGTAACAAATTAATTACTGAAAGGAAAAAAAAAGTTATATTTTTTTTTTCATACTTAACTTGTTATATTTTTCAATTAATCAAAATATGTAGATTATTGGACAATTACCTAATCTCTGCATCTTTTTTTGGTGAAAGAAAAAGGCTAAAAACAGCCCAGAAATAATAAAAAAAGAAACAGAAGATAGAAAACCAGCAAAAGCAAAGAGAAAACTAAGAAATCCTTAATTAACATTAAAACAAGGGTTCATTTAATCATCTTATGTTGAAGGAGAGATTTTCTCTCATGTTGTGACACATATGTGGTGGGACCCGCCATTTAAAGAAAAAAGAAAAATAAGAAAAATGAATGTCACGATTTTCGATAAGTGTGTAGGAGATAAAACTACTCTTATGCAAGAGTAGTTTTTCCCTTAAAATAAAGCAAATTGAGTGGATGAAACAATTTGGTTGAATATTATTGACAAATTAAAAAAAAAAAAAATAGTTTTGGGGAATGGTACAAAATATAATTGTTTTTTTGTTTGTGGGTAAAGAAGAACAAAGCAGAGGAGTGATGATATCAGGTGGAGGAAGATCATGTTCAACATCGTCATGGGTACCAACAACGTCGGTGTCGGCATCGGGAAAGAGGATTCAGAGGGAAATGGTTGAACTCAACAATGACCCTCCTCCTGATTGCTCTGCTGGCCCCAAGGGTGATAATCTCTATCATTGGATTGCCACTATTATTGGTACCCCAGGTCCTCTTCCTCAGACTTAACTCTTCAATTTTCTTCTTTTTCTTCATTATCACCATCACTCTTAACTTACCTAAATTGAGTTAGTATGACCTTGATGAATTTTTTCTATCTTGTTCTTCTTTATAGGAACACCATACCAAGGTGGCATATTTTTCCTTGACATAATATTTCCAAGTGATTATCCCTTCAAGCCTCCAGAGGTATTCTCAATTTTGTTCTGCGTACTAGAGTTTTTTTTGTGTATTGTTCTCTGATATAGTTGTTTCTTACAAAGGAGCGAACATACAGTTTATGAAGCAATCCATTTCATCTTTTTTAAGTGTACAAAGTTTCAATTTCGGTCTCGGTTTCATAAAAGATCTCTGCCATTGGACTTCTGTATATCCCACTATTTATTTGAGGAGTACATGTTTGCAAAAAGTAGATTACTATGAACTGATATCGTTATCTCTGGGAACGACTACCTAACTAATAATAAAGGTGACAACTTATTAGTAAGCAATTGGTGACATCTTTTTTCTGCTGATGTTTCTTTTCCTCCCCCAACTTGGTGTTTGCATTGACATGAGGAAGAATGTTGGTAGTGGTCTGCTAGATCTAATAATCTTTTGCTAGTTGTGATATGAGTGCTCTGACCTTTATTCTATAGGTTGTAGATTTATACAAGAAGAAAAGTGTATAAAACATCAACTATATGAATCTAGCTTAATCCTTTAATTTATAGAGTATCCTACCTCCAGTTATATTTTAGAATATGGATTTTATTCCTTTTTGACAAGGAAAGATGGAGTGTTTATACAAATGTGTATGTGTGAATTTTTCTTTCCTTTTAAGAATAAGGACAAAGTTTAAATTACAAAATTACAGCCCACGGGTGAGTATATAGCTCTAACTGATCTGTAGATGGTGTGTGCAGTTTTTTAAACATTTTCCCATTGAGTCCCTTTCCTTTTCATCTTGTGTTGACTGTCAAGCTGTATATGAGGTTGTATCTGTCTCTTTTTCTCCCATTAACCGTTGGTTTTGGTGAGATCTGGCACGTTTTGGATCTGTGAGCTCTGTTAGCTGAATTGATGGGTGTGCAAGGCAAATTGAGAGTCAAGAGGGCTGGAGACTGTCTGACAGTCTAGACAGTAAGGGGTTGGGATAAGGATTTTTTGGAAGAAAGGTAATAACTAATAAGCAAAAATGCATCTGTTATTTATGCATGAAGCTGTATTTTCATACAACGACTGGATTGAATTCCTTGAAATTCATGCTCGTTATTGATGGGGAAAGACTGCCTAGAGTATTCCCTTCCCCAGACACTCACGAAGTGGGTATTTGAACTGGGTCGGCCCTTTATTGATGGGGATAAAGTTGTCCTTCTATGAGTTGTTTCCATATCCACTTATTCGCAGTGGTTATGCTGACATGGATTGGATGTGGACTGACCTTGGGGTACACATGACTTGCTCCATCACCTTGGGGTACACATGACTTGCTCCATCAGCTCAGTTTTGCAAGATGATGAACTTGTCTTAGTCTTCTTGTGATGTCCCATGTTGCGCAAAGATAAAGGCTCAGTGTGGTACTTAAGCCATGGGACACTCCCATCCAATATGCTAGTCTTTTGGTGTGGACTCTCAAGGCCTTGAGTTGTAACAATTGGTGCTTTCATTGAGAGTGGAAGCGGCAAGCTGGAAAAGAGCAATCAGGGAAATGGCTACTTGTACTAGAAGGATAAAGAATGAAAGTGATGAAATATAAGACTGAAATGTATTTTTCATATATTGATTGACACCCAAAGGGATCTTTATATACAGATTACAAGGTAGTTAAGGAGTTGAAGTAATAAATAAAATACACAGTAACTGAAGAGGCATCACACTACTCAAAGGAACAAGTAGCTAGAAACAAGTAGAAAACTCTAGAATATTCTACACTCCCCCTCAAGTTGGGAGATATATATTGATCATCCCCAACTTGCTAATTAAATCCTCAAAGATGGGTTTGTGTAATCCTTTGGTGAGAATGTCGGCTGTTTGCTCCTTGGTAGGTATATATGACAAACATACACTACCCTCCTCCAATTTTTCTTTGATAAAATGACGATCAACCTCCACATGTTTGGTTCTGTCATGATGTACAGGATTTTGAGCAATACTGACTGCAGCCTTATTATCACAATAGAGTTTCACAGGTAGAGAATAAGATATCTTTAATTCTCCAAGGAGCCTTCTTAACCAGATTCCTTCACAAATGCCATGGGCTAGCGCCCGAAATTCTGCTTCTGCACTGCTTCTGGCAACAACAGTTTGTTTCTTACTTCTCCAGGTCACAAGATTTCCCCAGACATAGGTACAATATCCTGAAGTGGATCTTCGGTCCATAGCAGAGCCAGCCCAATCAGCATCTGTATAGATTTCTATCATCCTCTTGTGTCCCCTTTTAAAGAGCATTCCTCGACCAGGGGTGTTTTTGAGGTACTTGAGGATTCTATAAACAACACTAAGGTGTTTTTCCTTAGGAGAATGCATGAATTGGCTAACCATGCTAACCGCAAATGCAATATCAGGCCGAGTGTGAGATAAGTAGATCAGCTTCCCTACCAACCTTTGGTATTGCTCCCTGTCAACATCTTTTCCATCTTCAATTCCCAATTTAATATTGGGTTCAACTGGAGTTTCTGCAGGCTTGCACCCAAGCATACCTGTTTCTTGTAGCAGGTCTAGAATATATTTCTTCTGAGATAAGGAAATTCCCGCCTTGCTACGAGCAACTTCCATTCCAAGGAAATATTTGAGAGATCCAAGATCCTTTAGTTCAAACTGACTAGCTAAACCCCCTTTTAAAGATTTTATTTCTTCCCAGTCATCACCTGTGACAATTATGTCGTCAACATAAACAATGAGGATAGCAATTTTGCCACTATCGGAGTGTTTAAAAAATAAAGTGTGATTAGTCTGAGCTTGGATAAATCCTCTTTCTTTAACAACACGAGTAAACTTTTCAAACCACTCTCTAGGGGATTGTTTAAGTCCATAAAGAGATTTCTTCAACATGCATACAGAACCATCTCCCTGTTCAAAACCAGGTGGTGGATCCATGTAAACTTCCTCATGTAAGTCCCCATTTAAGAAAGCGTTCTTTACGTCCAATTGATGCAAGGGCCAATCAAGGTTGGCAGCAAGTGATAGTAAGACTCGGATAGAGTTAAGTTTGGCAACGGGAGCGAACGTCTCCTGATAGTCTATCCCATAAGTCTGAGTAAATCCTTTGGCAACCAATCTGGCCTTATATTTGTTGATGTTGTTATCTGCATTAAATTTTATTGTGAACACCCATTTGCAACCTACAGTTTTCTTTCCTCTGGGAAGTGCCACGGACTCCCAAGTTCCATTTTTTTTAAGAGCATCCATTTCTTCAAAGACTGCATCCCTCCATTTAGGGTCATTAAGTGCCTCTTGGATATTTTTTGGTATTTTTGTACCGTCTAATATAGTGTTGAAAGCACGAAAACCTGGAGATAACTTTTCATATGAAATGTGATGAGAAATAGGATGAGCAGTGCAAGATCTAGTACCTTTTCGAAGGGCAATGGGCACATCTAGGTCAGCTGTACCAGTGTTCTCAAGTGGATTGCTGGAACTAGGACTCGGGTCAGAATCCTGGCAGTCTAGAGGATCTTGAGGAGATTTTCGCCTGCTGTAGAATTTTCCCCATTTACCGGGAGGATCTCCAGTCTCTGGTACAATTGCTGTCCTTGTCTCCTGTACATTAACTCCCCCTGACTCCAAAGGTAAAGAAACAACAGATGTTTCCAAGGGTAAAGGTAAGACAGTAGAATTATTTGGATTCCAAGACTTGTCTTCATTTATACCAATAGACTCCCCCTGAAGAGAAGTCGAGGGAAAAAATGATTGTGTTTCACAAAAAGTAACATCCATAGAAACAAAGACCTTTCGAAGAGAAGGTGAGTAGCACTTGTAACCTTTTTGATTAGGAGGATATCCTATGAAGACACATTTAACAGACTTATGATCAAGTTTGGACCTTTGATGTGGAGGAATATGAACAAAAACCACGCAGCCAAACAACTTTGGAGGAAGGGAAAAGAGAGCCCGAAAGGAGGGAAAAAGAGCGGGTAAGGCAAGATATGGGAGAATGAAAATTCAGGACGCGAGAGGGCATCCGATTGATGAGATATGAGGCAGTCAAGACAGCCTCCCCCCACAGGTATTTAGGGACATGCATTGTAGACAAGAGGGCTCTAGCAACTTCAATGAGATGTCTATTTTTCCTTTCAGCCACCCCATTTTGTTGAGGGGTGTTAGGACAAGAACTTTGATGGATAATACCTTGGGGACATGAAGGACAGAATTCAGAGTAATATGTTCAGAGCTTAATGGATCCCTTTCCCGCAATATTAGAGAAACTACCATCAGCCGTCCTTATTCGTGACTGGTGATAATAAGGGGTATAAGAACAAAACAGGGATGCATTACCTGTCATATGATCAGAAGCTCCCGAATCAAGAATCCAACGACTACTATGATCAACATGGAATGCCATACCTTGTTGAGCAACATGACTAGTTGCCTCAGCAGATTGAGACATCACCTTCTGAAATTGCTCATAATTCTTACCGTTTAAACGGTGGTTAGTCCATCTGTATAGCTGGGTTGTCTCGGAAGACGAAGAACAGGGAAGAGGAAAAGCTAAACATTACCAGATGATTTTTAGAATGCTTATTCTCAGCCTCAATATTTTCAACTTCCATTGTTCAAAATAAAATAAAAAAACAAAAAAGGAACTCCAATCGTTCAGAACTGAAAAATCACGAAGAGGAACCAACTGGACCCAGCAAGAAGAGTGCTCCAATCGTGATTTAAACCCCCAGAACAGGAAGAGGAAGGCCAGGCGAGCCGTTCTGTGAAAGCCGCGTGACAAACGGAGGCCGGTAGGGCGGCGCGTGGCTCACACGCGCCGGAGAGGCAGTTCTGCAGTGGCGGCGCGTGGCTGACTTTCCGGCGACGGGGCTGACGTGGGTCGTCTCGAAAATGGCTTCTGAGACCAATGGTGGCCTTGGTTTCGTGATTGGAGGGGTCCAGATATGGTTTCTGAGTTATTTTAATAAACAGTGAAAAATGGAAAACGGAAGGAAACGTGGAGGTTTACAAGATGACCACAGGATAACCTGCTCTTGATACCATGATGAAATATAAGACTGAAATGTATTTTTCATATATTGATTGACACCCAAAGGGATCTTTATATACAGATTACGATTACAAGGTAGTTAAGGAGTTGAAGTAATAAATAAAATACACAGTAACCGAAGAGGCATCACACTACTCAAAGGGACAAGTAGCTAGAAACAAGTAGAAAACTCTAGAATATTCTACAGTTTTAATGTGATAGAATTTGGTGTTTCTATCCCCATCATTTATCCATTTCACCCTGGCTTTTTGAAACCATAAGATCTCCTCTTGTATGAGAATCGCATCAAGGTCCTTCCTAACCTCCTTTTCTCTAGATTGGAGAGATAAGTTGGTATGATAATCAACATGATTCTGAATTTCTGCAATACTATGCAATAGGTTAGCCTTCCTGTTGAAAATGTTGCCAAAGACTACCTTGAAACATCTTTTGTGTGACCTGGTCTTTTACAATAAGTGCACCAGCGCCCCTCTTTGTCGG